AAAGAAGAGAAGAGAAACAGGAAAGACAAGAAAAGAGAGATCGGCAGACATGGCATGTGGTAGTCGACTTGAGCGATGAGATAAGACTTCTTGAGACGGCTGGTGCAAAGATCAGACGAAGAGTGGAGAGGAGAGCAGAGGAGCAGGAAGAGAGGGGAGGGAAGTGCCAATGGAGAGAGGTGGAGGGAGGGAATGAGGGGGCGGAGGGAGGGAGGGAGGGAGGGAGGGAGGGAGGGAGGAAGAGCGGGGGGGTGGGAAGAGAGAGAGAGAGAGAGTATAGTGGAAGAAAAGGAGCATGAAGGGATAGTTCGAAATGCGATGACATTACCGGAAAAAGACTGAGATGCTGTTTTCATCCACTTCCATCCAGACGTGAACTTCGTCTCCCACCTTGAAATCCAAAGCCAGTGATCAACTCAGTCCTTCCCCCTTCTCTCCCTCGCTCCTCCTCCCTACCCTTCGCCTCCGCCCCCGCTCTTTCCCTCTCTTCCCCCATCTTGTCCCTCTCCGATGGAAAATCCTCTCTTCGTTTCCATTCCCCTTCCCTCCCTATTCCTTTCCCTTTCCCTTCTCTTGTCTCTCCTCCCTTCACACCCAACCCTTTCCTTTTCTGCCCCGCCCTGCGTCCTCCTCCTCCCTCGTACCTGCTGTGACCACAGGACTCTCCCCTTCCTCTTGTAGCCCATCTGCCACCTCTTCATCGGTGTCCACCTTTCCGTCCTTTCCGTCGCCCTCTCCCTCTCTGTCGGAGCAAACGCTTCCTTCCCGCATGGGATCTTCACTCGAGCACACACCGTCAGGGCTCCTAGTCCCGTGCAGCCGAAGATGGGGACGAAAACCGTCTCAGCTCCGCTCAGCTCAAGTCCCTGCTGTCGGATAGGAGCTTGAGAGCGTGCGGGAGGAGGAGGAGGAGGAGGAGGAGGAGGAGGAGGAGGAAAGTTTCTTTCGAGAGCCAGGAGCTGTGGACTAGTTGACCGTGCAAAGAGTTTCTCCCTGCATCCCGTAGGAAGGAGGAGGTTGCGGCAGCGTCGCTGTCGTTCATTGGGAGGAAGAGGATCGGGCCCTTGCAGCGCTGGACGATCTTGGTCTGCTCCATGCACCTCACTCCTCCCCTAGCGTCCTCGTCCACAGCAGATGAGGACGAGGACGAGGACGAGGACGAGGACGAGGACGAGGACGAGGACGAGGACGAATTTGGATCTTGTGATCTGACCGCTTGCTCCAGCTCCCTGAGCAAGCAGGACAACGAGGAAACAGATTGATTGAAAAATTCCTCGGAGAGCAGATCCAAAACCTGAGCACAAATTACATGGGACCCTCTCCCCAGACTGTGCCCTGCTCCTGCTGCTCCTGCTGCTCCTTCTCCCCCTTACATTCTATCCAGTACATTGCTGCTCTGTTAACTGTCCAATCTACGGTCTCTTCCCTCTCCCTCCTCTCCTATTTGCTCACACAATATTTCGGCACCCCCTGCCCCCTACCCGAATCCTTCTCCCCCTTCCCTCTCCTTCCTCCTCCTTCCCGTGCCTCCAGCCTCACCGCCTCCTGGAAGCTTCCCCCGTAGAAGTGAGCGACTAGATTCTCCGAGAGGTCGAAGAAGGAGGAGAACAGCGTAGCAGAGATCGCACTGAGCTGGTACGGCCAGTAGAACGCGGTCCTAGGAAGCAACACCCCTTCCTCCGGGAAAGACCAGGCGATGGCAGACGGGACCAGGGCCCCCCAGAACCCTCTTCTCGCGTCCTCGAAGCCATGGAACGTCTGCAGCCACTTGGACAGGAAGGGGCTCTCCCTCGGCGCTCCTATCACTCCGTTCCCTGCCCACCCGAACGGCTGCTCCCCCAGGAACGCTCGATCCCCTTCGAACAGATCCGCCATTGTACTCAGGGGGATCAAGTCGCTGTCAAGGTACAGCCCGCCATGGCGTAGGAGAGCATGGAGCCGGATGACGTCGGAGAAGTGCGCAAAGGAGGAGATGTCGTTGCCAAATATCCTCCTAGGAAGCTCCACGTACTTGAGCTCGACCTGCGGCAGCCGTCCTATCTCCTCCCACCACCTGCCCCAAGGGAGGAAGTGGTAGTGAAGGATGATTTTGTCCGGTCGGAACAGCGCCAGGCTCATCTGGATGGAGCGGAAGAGGAAGAAGGGGCAGCGAGGAGGAGGCCCTCGAACGTCGTACACGTAGTGGATGATCCTTGGAACCACCCAAGTCCCCGTGCTGAACCCGTAGTCCAGGCATACGCTGGAGGGGTTCAGGTCAGAAACCCTGTCGGAGAGCACTCGGAACGTCCGGGAGTCTTGAGCAAGGACGGTCTCCACACTCGTGCGGGAGAGCAGAACTGCGTGAACCTGGTACAGGCCATCGCCGAAGGAGGAGAGGTCGACTTTGTAGTAGCCCGAAGCTGAGATGTTGGTCGCTACTACTTGGTCGGTAGCACGGAGCTCGACGAAAGCAGAGCAGGAGTAGAGATCAGCCCAGACCTCCAGCCTGAACCACAAGAAACTTTCTCTTTCCAGGGTGTTGCAAGGAGAGAGGAGGAAGATTCCCACGGCATTCCATCCTACTTGCTTGCAAGTAGCCGATGCAGAACTCGCAGGGTAGCCAGCGGTAGAGCAGCAAAGGAAGAGGAGGAGGAGGAGGAGGAGGAGGGACACAGCTCCTCGCTGACTTCTACGATACATACTGTGCTAACGACGTGGTTCGCGCATGACAGGCGCTTCCTGCTCCCTCCCCTTGGATCAACAGCAGAGACAGCTGGTCCTTGGATCTTTCTATGCACGATCGGCAACCAGGACAAGACTGCCCACCCTCTCAAGTAGATAAGCATCCTCTTCCTTCATCATCGTCTATCTGTATCCTCCTCTACCTTGACCCTCCTCTCCTGAGATCCTCCTCACCCGCCATTCTCCCTGCCCCCTACCTCCCTCCATCGCCATGATCCTGCTCCGAGAAGCAAGAAATGGGATCAGCAAGCCTGCCTCGTCTGTATCCTCAGGCTCGCAAAAGACAGCAAGATAGTGGCTTGAATCAAATTCTAAATTTTAATTCTGCCTTTCAGGCCCACCTCAGATCTCTTCCGCCCGGATCCAGATTTTGTTCCTGCTCCTGCTCCTGCTCCTGCTCCTGCTCCTGCTCCTGCTCCTGCTCCTGCTCCTGCTCCTGCTCCTGCTCCTGGTTCTCCTGCTCTTCTTCCTCCTCCTGATCCTCCTGATCCTCCTGATCCTCCTGATCCTTCTTCTGTTTCTGTTTCTTCTGCTTCTCTTCCTGCTCCGTCTTCGTCGCCCTCGCGTTCCTCCCATTCCTCTTCTTTCCACCCTTACCTCACCCTCAATAACTTCAAGGATGTTCATCTGGTCCCTTCTCTGATTCATAGCCATCCATTCATCCTGAAAGTACATGCTCCACCCGCACGCGGCAGACTCTTCCGACTCCGCCATGGAGCAAGGGTCCGCTGCTCATCGCAGGGGGGACCTTTGGTTGGCGATTATCCTGAAGAAGGTCCCGCTGTCTTTCCTCCCCTCCTGCTCCTCTCGTCTGAAGCTGCTGTACAGAAGTCTAGCAAGGATGAGGTCGAATGGTTCGAGACCAAGAGCCTGCTGCGCGAGGTTTCGATGCGTTTCGATCTCTGCCTTCTTGCCCACTCACTTTCTCCTTCTCTCTCTCCAGCCGTTCTACATGATCTCTCCTGAAGGAGTTTCCGATCAACGTGAGCAGACACGATTTCTCTGGCAGGGATGTTGATGAAGGGGATGTTTGCAGTGGTGGTAGACCGCATGAAGAACAACTTGCTCAAAGTCAAGGGCCTGTTTCTTGCCCTGGCCGACATCTCGATCACCGTCAACAAACAGGTCTGTTTCGATGCCAACAAGCTGCCTGCCCCGCTGATCCTGTCTTCGGTAGGAGCTGCAGAATCTAGATTTCTGGGATTCGCCGTCTCGACTGAAATTCCATGCTGGTCGAGGGCGAGGTGTTTGCTTTGGCTGTCGGCCGTGACCCTCTGCAGGTTTCTGCCACGATCATGAGAGGATCTTCTGTGTCGCCGCGTCCTGCAGCACGCCGAGACATGTCCTGGAGGTGAGGAGAGGAGGAATTTCAGCTGCCGCATCACCCATGTGCCCCAGGTAGCGCGGGGGTTGGCAAAGCTCCGTGGGTTGTTGGAGAAGAAGTCCGATGCTTGGAGCCTGGAGTGCGATGTTCGATGCAGCAAGCTGCTGGATGATGCGATAGCGGGAGAATTCTCATCGGTGCAGTGATCTCAATGCTGCCGGATCTTGATCATGCTGACGTTGCACTGCAGAAATCGCTCGATGAGCTGATGACTCAGTTTGTTGAGTCCTCAATCTCAATCTCTCATGAATCACTCACAAAGAAAGGTGCAGCTTCCTCCCCCCCTTTTGTTTCCTTCCCCTTCCTCTGCTCCTCCCGTCTATCCCCTCCGACTCTCCGACACCCTCCCTCCTCCCTCTCCCCATCAAGTCGACTCACACCGCAACGTGATGGTAGAACTTTTGTTGCTTCCTGGCTCTTCCGTGGATGCAAAGATCCATGGGTCCTGCGTATCGTTTCCTTCGTTGGATGTCTCCATCAAACTTCACTGCCGGTGATGCTGCGGCAGCTCTTTGCGCCGTCCCCTCCTGACCTCTGCGATCTTGGTAGGCTGGACTACATCTTGTCGGCCTTCGAGTCAAGGCGGTTGCGGGCTTCCTCGCTCTCCGCCAAACCTCCCGGTAGGCTGGAGAGTTTGCAGATCGGAGCGCGCGAGTCGCTGAATGGTTTCTGTCAGCGAGATATTCGCTTCCCCTGGGCATGTGCCTCTTGTTCCCGGGGTGCCAGGGGCTGTCTCCGGGGGGGACAATCGTTTCACATCTCCCCACTTCCACCATGGACGACGTGACCATCATCGTGCGGGTGACTAAGGAGGAGGAGGAGGAGGAGGAGGAGGAGGAGGAGATGCAGTGAGGAAGGATGAAGAGGTGGAGGAGCAAGGGGCGGGGGAGGGTCAGGGGGAAGAGGAACGGAAGATGTTTCGCTGACCTTCATCAAAGGCTCTTGGTCTGTGGAGAACGAGCAGGAAGCTTTCAGCCAGAGAGAGTCCTCATAGAAGACCCCTGCGCGACATCGACTGGCCTCCGGCTGAGCACGCCGTCGTCAGACTCCCCGGGATGGACAGGATCCAACGGGCTTGCAAGGTTCTGGTGGTGATTGCTGTGGAAGGATTCGTGCTCTGCAGGTGGCCGATGCCGGAGGGCAACTTTCCCTTGTTGATTTGTTGCTGCAGCATGCTCGATTCCCCGAGGGAGAGCGTCGAGGAGGAAGGTGAGCTGGCCTGACCTCTTGGAGCAAGGGAAGGAGCAAGTGGCTCACTGTCAAGCTCCTGCAGGCGTTGCTGAGCTCTGCGTGCTGACGGAGCTCATGCTTCGGCTCAAGGACGAGAATCTCTTTGCCTGCATCCTATCGCAGGTTTGGATCGAACGCTACTTCCTTCCCCTCTCTCCTCTGTCCCCCGACAGCTAGCCAGCACCCAACCCCTCAGGCTTTCCCCACCTGCTTTTTCTCCCTGCCCCTGCCCCTGCCCCTGCCTCTCTCCTCTCCTCTCTATTCCTCCAGTGCTCTTCTGAGGCATGCCGGATCTGCTCTGACTGCCCCCCGCAACCCAGTTGGAGGTGATGAGCAAGCACATGAAGGAAGAAGACTTCGAAGATTTCGACGCTGCTCCTGCTACCTTCTTGCACCCACCTCTTGCCGATCGGCAGCTCGGCAACGCAGCAGAGGATTCTGAATCCGATGCCGCCAATGTCGCCTTTCTCTCCTCGAGCTCTCGCACTTTCGTCTTTGACAGTCCTCTCGACCTCAACGATCCTGGCATGGATCGAGGAGGTTCGCACCTCTCTGAAGCCCCGCAGTCTCCCTCCCCTCAGTCTCCTCCCTCGAGGATCGTCCGCATGTCCGAGGTCAAGATCCCGCGGTGAGCCTCGGAGCCTCAGGCAACTCCTTGCAAACTATCGCTGACCAGCTGGTTATGCTACAGGAGGCTCAGGACAGTGAGATAGGCAGCAGGTCACCTCAGCCTCGGGAGTACTATAACTTAGTCTCAAGATTACTATCAGTATCATGAAATGAAGTTCGTCACTGGCCGTTGAAGTCCCGGAGTCCGAGATCGGGGTGAACGGCATCTGATCCGAGTCGGGGGCAATCATTCAGTGGCATTTTTCTGAGCTACGCCGGGGGGCCTCCAGTTGAGCGGTATGATAACAGTGCAGGGCGCGGCCGGGCCGCCGCCCAGGACGCGGCTGCCGGGCGGCCGCGGGCGGCCGGGCCCCGTCCCCCGGCGTCGGATCATGCGGCGGCTCTCGGCGGGGGCCCGCTGAGGCTCGGAGTGAGGCCCCGTTGAAAGTCACCTCACTGAGTCAGTACCTTGCAAGTTGAAACCGTTCCGCACTGCACGGCCGCGCGTACCGGCGAGTCGGGCCGCATTGCGGCCGCCGGGCCCGGCCAGTTGACGGAGCCCCGAGTCCGACGATCAGTGCTGGCAGTAGCCTAGTGTCGTCACTGGCCACGGTTGCCCGGGCGGCGCCCGTGCGGCCGTTCAAGTCAGTGACGCGCACTGCGGGCAGAGGCCAACGGCCGCCGTGGAACTCTGGTGGGTACTGACCCCAACCCCCAGCTTTGCTCGATAACGGTACTAAGTTTGTAGGAAAGTACCCGTACTGTTGACTCACCTACCTCCCTCCTGCCGCACGCCAGGGAGACTGCAAGGATCGAGGCCCTGAGGCCTGCTGGAGCAGTGGGGGGGAAGCGAATGAGTAGGGTTGTGTATTTAAATAGGGTAAGGGTAGTCAAAGCTGGTACAAATAAACGAGTTTGTACCCCCTATCTTGGGGGTACTTTGGTTCATATAAGGGAATGACTGGGTAGGGGTGGTCTTCAAGTGGAGATGTGGCACCCCCATGAATCCCGAATAAAAAGTCTGAGATCAGAGGGTAGGTGTATGGAATTGATGGGGTGAGGGTAGTAAACACCAGGGGTAATGTGGATTATGATCGATACAGTACCGGTATGTTCAGTGCATTTCTATTGACCTTGAAAGGGTAGGGTATAGATGAAAGGGTAGGGTGTGGTGGAATCTGAGGGTATTGCCTGTTTAGGGGGTGCGGGGGGTGATGGAACATGAACTTTTTGAGTAACTCGAGCAGATTTCGCACAAGAAGTTCATTTTTTCATGGGAGGATAAGGGGGAGATGTCGTCGAAAGGTTCTTGTATTTCTGAAAGGTTCAGTCTGGGTGGGTGCCGCGACGCTGCGATCATGTCGAGCAACGAGGTGCGGAAATGGTCGGGGAGAAGGAGGGGGGAGGGGGAGGCATTGCGAGCGATAGGAAGCACCAGGAGAGAAGCCGAGGATACAGACAAGATGCTGTCCGTTGGGTGAGCACAGGACTGGGGTTTTGGACCCTGGGAGTGCCTCAGGGGACGGGCATGGCCCATGTTTTGGTGCTTTGTTGCGATGGGACGCATCGATTTTGCGTTTGAGAGCATGAAAAGTAGTGAGAAAAGAAGGGTTTGATGTGTGCCTTCGTTTTGAGGCCAAGAAGTTGGTGATGTCGACACCCTGCGATTGTCTTTAGCGTGCAAATGCCGCTCGTTCTTGTTTGATTTTGACCGATTTTCGTAACTCAGGTTTATCTCTTGTGGGGGTCCACTGGATGGATAGGAGGCATCCTACAAGGGTAAACTGCTTCGTATCTTGCCTCAGTCTGCGCTGACGTCTTGGACAGACTTCTCCGTGATGGAGGGAAGAAGGTTGTGGTCGCCAAGGCGCGCTTGCAGTGAGTTTTCGTGAGCGTCGGGGACCCGGAAAGTTATCTTTGAGCAGGAACAGAGAAGAAGTCGAGAAGGAGCTCGATGAGCACCAGCCAACGAGGGTCCTCATTGTGAGAAGAAATTCCTACATTTTCCTCCCCTGCTGAGCAGCATCTGTGACATTCCTCACAACACAGGCGGCTGGCATCACAGGAAGGCCGAATGTCGATTGGTGCGAGACAAACAAAGAAGCCACGGTCCGAACCAACGTCATCGGAACTCTTGGGATTGTGGACGCCTGCTGGCAGCGCGGCATTCATGCTACATTGTTTGCCACGGGATGTATCTACGAATACGACAAGGATCATCCGGTACATGCCCTTGCTTGTGAAGTGTCGTCGGATAGTGTGCGTGAACAGTCGTGGGTGACTTGTCTTCGTCAGATCGGTGGTCGTGGGTTCACAGAGGAAGATCGTCCGAACTACGACGGGTCATTTTACAGGTTAGAGGTTTCGTAGATTATGAAAGGGATACTGACTGGTGCTGCTGCTAGCAAAACTAAGGCGATTGTTGAGGAGCTGCTGAAAGTGTATTCGAATGTGTTGATTCTGAGGGTGAGATTCAGTTGTTTTCTGCAAGCCCTGCTCATGTCGTGTCAACAGCTCCGCATGCCAATCTCAGACGATCTGAGCGAGAGGAGTTTCGTGACGAAGATAGCCAAGTACGTGTACTATGTGCAGCGGGCGCACAAATCTCTAACGCATGGTGTGCAGATATCACAAGGTTGTGGACATCCCGAACTCCATGACTGTTCTCAACGAGCTGCTGCCCCTTTCCCTCTCCATGTCAGAGGCCAAGGTGCTTGTTCTCTGGTTTCCACACCGACAGGATGTCCTGACGGGGCGCAGTTGACCGGCATCTACAATTTTTGCAACCCTGGTGCCATCTCGCACAATGAGGTATTTCGACATGTGCTCCAGTGGACCCTGTGGGGTGATGCCGATTTGTGCGGCAGGTTCTACAAATCTACAAGGAAGAAGTTGATCCCAACTTCGAGTGGTCAAACTTCACGGTAGGGAGAAGCCATGAACTCCCTCTGCTCCCTTGTGTGTCTGACTTGGTACCGCTAGGTGGAAGAGCAGGCGAAGATTCTGGGGGCAGGGCGCAGCAACAACTTCTTGGAAACAAAGAAGCTGGAAGATGAAGCTATCAAGGTCAACTCTATCTTCGCTCGTTCCAACCCCGCTCTCAATGATCGCTTGCCATTGTTACTTTCTATTGCTTGATGTCATTTTCATGTGGTATTCTTGCAAGGCAAAGTCATATCTTCTGTCAACTCACTTTCCTCCCCTTTCTTCCATCCCTCCTAACTTCTGGCACAGCTCGGACATTCGATCCCCGACATCAAGACTGCTGTACGGCAAGCTCTGCGAAAGGTTGCGCTCTTGTTCTTGTTGATGGCCAGAACATGAAAGCACTGCAGGCGAAGGCGAAATTGGTTGCCGAGGGAAGATTTCCCGATGGCCTTCCGAAGAAGTTGGGACCGGGCAACAAGTGAAGTGAAAGAGGAAAGGATGGGAGGAATGGAGGAGAGAACAAGGGAGAAATGTTGGACCTTGCATGCCAGTGGGAGTGCATGCGACCGTGAATTCTTACAGACAACGTGATAGATCGGCGAACAATTTATTGTTAAGCTCTAGTGAAAACCGAAAGCACTGAACGGATCCACTGAATGGACGTGTCGGACTCGACTGTTTCTATTCTCCCTGCTGTTCTCTCCTCCTCTCAGTCTCTACCTTGCAGCGATGCTGCTTCAGCCAACACTTATCCCCTTTCCGTAGTTCCTTCTTTTTCCTCTCTCCGGGCCTCCTCCTCCTCTGTGTCTCTCTGTCCTCCAAGTCTTGTTGTCCATCATTTTCCCTGCGCTCGCTCGCTGCTTCTCCTCCGTCCTCTTAGCCTTCACCTGCCTGCCGACTTCTGACCGTACGGTCTCTCTCTCACCGTCCGGGCTGAGTAAAATGAACTTCGGAAACCGGGAAGATCCCGGGCCCGCCGGCTCTGGCACCCGGGGCCGTGAGTCCCCGGCAGTTTTTCAGTGGTAGTACTATGGTAGTCACTGAGCGTATCGTACGGTCCGGCGTCAACTTCCATCAGCCTCTTCAGTCCACCTACTGCCATGCTGGGGGAGGTAGCGGCTGTGCTGGAGGTGAGAGAGAGGCTGGCATGTCACAGTGACTCAGTGAGGAAGAGGGAAGGAGAGGAGCAGAAGATAGGTGAAGGGAGGTGAAGGGAGGTGAAGGGAGGTAGGAAGGAGAGAGAGACTGAGAGGGAGAGAGTCGGGAAAAGATGGGGAAGAGAGGAAGGAAGAAGGAAAGTTTCGAAGAAGTAAACTAGTTAGTCAAAGCAAGTGAGCATGGATTAGAGTCAAGGAAAGCAGTATCACAACGCTCAGTCACCTTGTCGAGACCATGACTGGTGACAGGACGCGCGGATATCGAGGGAGAAGTTCCTGCAGAATTACATCCTTGACGATGCTGAGGGCAGTGAGGACGATGAGGCCTTCAGCATATCCTCTTGGTCTGATAAGAGGACAACCCCCCTCAAGGTTCCTCCTCTTCCTGCTCCTGCTCCTCCTCCTCCTCCTCCTCCTCCTCCTGCTCCTCCTCCTCCACCACCACCACTCTCGGCTCTCTCTCCTCCCCTTCTCCCTCTCCTCCCCTTCCCCCCTCCCCCTTTTGCGCACCTCGTTGACATGTGTTGATGTGAACGTATGTAGGGTGAAGACTTGCTGGAGTCCAAACTGACAAGCAGCGATGACATCATACCGGCACTGGTGACGATGCTGATTGAGTCTCAACTACATGTAAGCTTGTTGACGATCAGTTAGAGGAGCTGAAAACCACAACGTCTGTCCTCAACGATTGCAACCTAGCGCTGAGAAACGAGAAGAAGCTAGCGACGTCCTTTCAGAAACTGTTCTCCTCCCTCAACGACGAGATCAAATCACAAGGGACAAGAAGCAAAGTCACACCCGAAGCTGACGACTCGGAGTTCCTCTCCTCCTCTCAGCAGAACGATCAAGACATCCATGAGAGCACGGCTTCCGTATCATCCGCCTGCGCTGAGAAGGGAACAGCCAAGGCAGACAGCGCCTGTCAGGCCACTGACATTGACGATGTTGTCAAGAAGATTGTGTGGAGCGTGAAGATGGTATGTGTGTTCCTCTGACGCGAGGGATGGCTGACCTGAACTGAAGGCATCGATTGTGAAGAAGGAGAAGATGCAAAGGAAGGAAAGTTTTCGCCAAGTCCACCAGCAGATCAAGGAGATCACTGAATGGATTGAGATGATTGTGAGGGAGGAGGAGAATCGCCTATGTCCCTCCCTCCCTCCCTCCCTCCCTCCCTCCCTCCCTCCCTCCCTCCCTCCCTCCCTCCCTCCCTCCCTCCCTCTTTGTCTACTCACTCTGTCACTGCAGGAGAACTGGAAGCAGAAGGCAAGGGACTCCCTGGAGGAGAAGAGAGCCATGTTTCGATGCTGGATGGAGAACTTGCATGAGGTAAGCAGCAGCTCCGAGGACGGCTCCGCTGATTCTTCCCCGACCAGGCCCAGTCTCCCTCGTCCCGTGAGGAGGAGGGAGAGGAGTTGACGAGCTCCTCGCACTTGGAGCGAACGGATCGATCGATGGGGAGCTGCTTCTCAGGCATCTTGTTCCTGTCCACTGCAAGTCCTCCTGACGAGTTCAGTCTAGGGTGGAGCAACAGGAGGGGCGCGCAGGATGCTGTGGAGCAGAGGTACCTTCAGGACTACACGCTCAAGTTCGAAAGGATGAGGACTTCTTGGAGGAGGAACAGGGAGAGAATCTCGTTCCTGGAGGAGGAGCTCTCCTCGCTCCACAAGTTCGTCGTGCACGAGGCCGAGGGCCAAGTGCAGTCCTGGGAACGGCTGCTGTCCTCCGACCTGCTCAAGGCCCTGCAGGACCAGGAGCACGTCAAGGGAGGTCTCCGAGCGAGTGCGTTGGAAAAGTCCCTCCGCGATCGAGAGCTCCGACTGAGCGAGCTCAACGACCAGCTCGCGCAGGTGAGCAGCTGTCCCAGCTGTCCTCCACCTCGTTGCCGCTGACGGGGGATGTTTGATGTCAGATCCGAGAGCAGTGGAAGAAGGAGAGAGATCGGTACGAGGTGCGACTTGCTGCCGCCGATCGCAACGCCGAGCACGCGACGAAGAGGGCGATGCTGGCAGAGGAAGCGCTAGCAGCCTCCAAGGAGAGGATCGCGAGCCTGGAGGACCGGAGCCAGACCCGCCAGCTCTACGAGGAGGAGGACGCGAACGTAACGCTCAAGGGAAACTTCGCCAAGGCTCGGGCCATGATCGCAGTGCTGTGCAAGTTCCTTGGGATCTACCATAAGCTCGTGCTGGCCATCCTCTCCTCAAAGGACGCCGGGAGACGCGACGGGACAGCCGGCTGGCTGTCAAGTCTGATCGAGGAGAACTGGGAGGAGCTGATAGAGCAGCTGGTGCGGCAAGCCAAGGGCATCGAGGACTACAACACGTCCAACTTCATGTACGACATCCAGGGAGTCGACAACAAGTTGACGGCCCTGCAGCGAGCTACAAGCTCCATCTACTGGCGGGAGAAGAGCAGCAGCAGCATTCACTTCCTCGATGACGGCAGCCGCTACCAGAGCCCCTCCAGCAGGGCAAGCACCCTCACCAGCAGCATGCTGCAGCGCTCGGGAGAGGACGAGAGGGGCGGGGAGAGGGAGTCTTGGATCAGCCCTCCTCGGCTCCAGCTCTACCTCACCAAGTCCTCAGCTCGAGTACAGCTACAAGTGGTCAACACGCGCAACCTCCCGGCCGAGATCCTGCAAGAGTCCTGCATCTCGGTCGAGGTGGACGGGTGGCGGCAGAGCCCTCGGAGGGCGGGGGAGGGAGAGGGGGGGCAGCAGCTGTTCTTCTACTCTTTCACTGCCTCCGTCACCTCCTCCGTCATCCGTGTCCTCGTCGTTGACCTGGGAATGCAGACGGGGAGGCAGACGACAGGCATCGTCACGCTGTTCCTTGCGCACGTCGTGCCTGCGGGCTGGAAGGCGAGCATGAAGGAGAAGTTGGTGCATACTGACTGGTTTCCCGTGCTGGACCCGGCCGGGCGAGCAGTCGGGCCGGCTGATAGCCCAGCTCTGCTCGAGCTGAGCCTCTCGGTGGAGCGTGTGGGTTCAACATGACACGTTCATAAAGAATAAAAAAAGTCATCGGCGAAGAGAGCGAAGACGATCCTCGAAACTGCCAGAGATGTCAGGGGAGGAGCAAAGAGGGAGGGGGGGAGGAGGAGAGGTACGGCGAGGGAGGAGGAGGAAGGAGAGGGGATTGGGTTGTGGGGAGAGGAGGAGGGAGTGGGGACGGGCGGGGAGGAGGGCGGGGCGTATAGAGAAGAGGAAAGAGACACATGAGTAGAAGAGGAGCAAGTATGACGATCGATCAATCGCAGGGAAGGGGAGGCGGAACCTCGTAGTCTCCGACGCGACTAGTACAGCTTCCTTCTTCAGCTCTTCGGGCTTCATGCCTGATGTTGCTTTCCATAAGAGAGATGGGATGGGAGGAGAGAAGGAGAGGGAGGGAGAAGTGGAGGACAGGAGAGAAAGGAGATAAGGGACAAGGAGGGAGGATGGAAGACAAGTGGCAGGGGAGAGGAGGTGAGGGAGGAGAAATGTGAAATAGCAAGGAAGAGACATGAACATTGAGCTGGAGATGTAACGGAATATAGCGGTCATGTGTGACTGAGAGGGACTATGAGCGAAGCATACCCATGTTGAGCTCCCTGAGCTCCCGCTCCTCCTGCTCCTTCTTCAAAACTTCCATGAACCGGTGCTCGGCAAAAATCTTGGCCCTGTGCGATGTAAGAGAAGAAAGAGAGGACGAAGGGAACAAGAAGCAAAGGATGCATGACAGAGACGTTGCAATCGACAGACCTCGGGTAGTATTCCTTCCTATTCGTCGCCTCCCTCACCGCCCGGTTGTGCCTCACCTGCGTTCCTGCCTGTTACCTGCCAGCAGCTGCCATGGAGTGATACCCTCAGCGTGTTGACTATCTTGTCATGGGTTTTCTTTAGCTTGTCCCCCTACACATGCAACATCAGACACGCTCCCTCCAACCAACGATCGTCTCACCTTCATCTGCTCGTTGAGCTGGTTTTCTGCCTCCGTCCTCCTCACTGCTGCCTGCAGGTTCTTCTCCTGTACCCGCCAGAAGCGCCGGCCGGGTCCATCTGTAGGACGAACAGAACGAGGATGGATGAGAGGAAGACTGGAACGAGGAGTAGAACAGAAGAGGAGCAGACAACTAGTTGAGAGAGGAAGGAAGAGAAGACGAGGGAAGTGCAACAAAGAGGAAGAGGGGAGAGAGAGCAAAGGACTTTCTTCACCTTCCCACGTGGCTGCTCGCTTCGATCCGTTGGTCTGCGACAACATGGCAGGCTGCAGGCGGGAGAGCAAGACTGCAGGAGGGAGTGAGCTTCAAGACGTGAGAGGAGAAGGACAGACCTCGCTGAGTCTGCGATGCCGGCATGAAGATAGGCTCGAGCATGCTCTGCGAAGTCCACCACTTGATAGTGGCCCTGCAGAGGGTATGAGACGAGGAGGGAAGGGGGAAGCCAAGGATTGGGAAGGCGGGAAGGTAGAGGTACGCAGGAGGAAGGTGGGAAGGGGTGAGGGGGCTTCTCGGAGAAGAGAGGGGTGGCACCTTGCAGTAGGCGTATCGGAGCCGAGCATGTAAGAGTTTGTCCTCCCTGTTCGCAAGAAAGAGCCGCTCGCTTCTGTGTGGCGGGAGGAGGAGCGGAGGGAGCGGCGAGTCACGATGTGTACCGACCGGACGGACTCATACCCTGTGTCAGGGCGATCGGGGATCACGTTTCCTCCGTCGAAGCTCTGTACATCGATGCCTCCACTTCCTCTGAAGGATGCGATCTCCATCATGTCATGCTCGAGCTGTGCACTTCCTGCTGTCTGCGGCATCTGGTAGTCGTAGAAGCCAGCGGGGCTCGGTGGCCTAAGAGGGGTTTGCTTCCTCAGCCCAATGATCCTCTCCTCCTCCAGCTCCATCGCACGGCGCTCCTCCCATCGTGGCCCCAGGTTGCTCCTCATCTTCCAGCCGAGCTTGTGCTCGAAGTCTTGGATCTGCTCGTTCACCTCTGCTTCATGGCACCTCCTATCCATCTCTTCCGCTTCATGGTTAGCTGTCTTCAGGTTCTTGCGGTGTACAATGTCGGATGGTCGTATTGATCCGCACACTGTCACTGGCCGATAGTCATGACCTGCTGTCATCGTATCCTCCCTGTGAAAAGGAAGCTTTCAGTTCGAGTTCTGGACGTCGCAATGGTCTAGAATCCCGCAAAAGCAGTCAAGAGGAGAAGGCTTCTACCCTTTATGGGTTCTGCTCGCTTCTACAACCCTCACACAAGGATACAATGTAAGTCTCCGGATGCTCATGGGACAACCTTTGCACTTCCAACCTCCATCTCCCTGGAAAAGTGGACCTTGAGCGCACACGCTCGCGACTAACAAGAAGTATCTGCTTCTTTCAGTGTTAAACTATCAACACTGTCCTGATACTGAGAGGAACAATCGACTCTTCTCCTGATTCTCAAGTTTTCTCTCTACTCCGGAAGCTCTTCCATGCTCTTTCGCCATCCTACTTCGCATCCTTTTCCCCATCCCTGGCATCTTCAACAGAACGAGCCCACCCTACCTGTTAGCTTGCTTTTTATGATCACCCCACCTTGCAATTTTTAACCCTTTCATTTCTGGAGGCTATGTTTGCTACATGCTCGATATTACATATGATATTTATTATAAAAATCACAATATCAGTGCATTAGCTTCAACACATGCAACCAAAAATACCCTTAACCCCCCCATCTCCATAACCCTACCCCAGATCTTTGCCTAGATCAACGACCTAACTGAATGCACCACCCTACCATACCCGAGCCTACCACTACCCCACCCGTGCAAATAGCCTCCGTATCCTAGGCAATGTACCCCCACCTTCCCCTCTTCCTTCTCTTATCTGCCCCACCCCTACCTACATTTTTACTAGCGTTTGCTCATCTACTCACCAGGAGAAAACAATGTAACGATATGTAACGGTACATCTATCCGATCACACAGCATCCGTCGGATCAGATGCCTCAGCGCGGCGGTCGGACTCCGGGAGTGCGGCCAGGCTAGCCTCGCGGCGGCCGGGCTCACTCAGGCTGTCACGCCGGCCCCGGCCGGCGGTGGCATGATGGTGAGAGTCCGACTCGACGGTCAAGGGCCCGGCCAGTTACCGTACAGCGGCCGGGCCCGGCTCAGCGGCTGGGAGTCCGCCGACCGTGACAAGTGGCGCAGTCACCGGCGGCCGCGTGCCCTGGCATGATACTGAGGGCCCGGAACCCGTGACCCAGTGCCGGGCCCGCCCGCCGCGGCGGCCGGCCCGGCGCCGGCAGGGTCACTGAACTGACTCAGTGAGCCTCCTCTACCGAGCCTCGGAGCCGGACGGTCGGACCGGAGTCCTGCCATGATTGCCGCGGCCCGCCCCCCGGCGACGGTCACCCTGCCAATCTCTGATTCTCGTACCGTGGGCCTGACTCAGTGCCATTCAAGTTTAAGGCTTAGTAGTCCGACTTTCCGAAGTTCGTCACCGTGACCGCACACGCGGCACGCCGGCCGTGACGGTGGGGCCGCAAGGTGACCGAACTCGGGCGTTTGGGTGACGGTGATCGGACCCGGTACTACATGCCAATCCTTCTATGCTGGGGCCCGGCGCTTGTCACATGATGATCAAGTTGACGGCTTAAGTTAGCCGGCGGGACACTGAAACGGACCTTAAGTTGCCTACTGCTAGAGCAGCTTGAGTCAGTTGGTGAACAAAAATCTGATTACAGATGATTGGTTTTGGTTGTTTTCATTAAAACCTGGATTGAAGCACGACCAGAGCCTAACAATAAAAAATCTTTACTCCTTCTTCTTCTTGGCGACGGCCTTTCCAGTGCGAACTTCGGCCTTCTCCTTGCCGCGAACCTTCTTAACCTTGTTCTTTCTTTCCTTGCCAGCCTTGCGAGCAAGTTTTCCGGCCTGCTTCTGAATAATTCCCTCACGAAGAAGAAGGTGCTTAGACAGCGACTTCTTGGCGGCGTTCAAGTTATCGTAGATCACACCGAAGCCTGCAGGTCACAAGCGTGAGTACGTCACGTTACTGCAGCTGCTCCGTATCTCACCAGTTGATTTCTGTCCACCAAAGGCAATCTTGAATCCCCACAAGAAGATGCATTTCGGATCTTGTACCTGCATGTCTATGAGCTAAACCTAACACGAGCTCGCCAGCATCATACGTTATAGATCTTAGCAAGCTTCTCCTTAAGCTCCTCCTTGGAGACGGAGGCGCGGTTAGGATGCAGGACGTCGATGACCTGAGAACTGACGTTTAGGATAGGACAGCGGGAGAGATATGCATCAGGAAAGGGCGGTGCCACATGTACCAAACAACCAACAAAGACAAGTACATCGCAATTCAACCACTTATAGACTACGCAAGGAGAAAGTCAACCAAGACACAGCAAGTTTGATGCACATTTTTGCACTGGACGCCATTGTTCCTCACACCCCTCCCCAATAGGCAACGAAAATCAACGTCAACTAGAGATTCGGGAGCGAGAAGCTCGCACTATCGAATGAAAGCTTTGAAGGTTTTCAAGAAGTTACAGCAATTCTGCTTCCATACTCTCTATCACGTCATCAAACTGCTTAGAGCCCTCCGTCCACAGCAAAGACATAGACTTCAGTGGACAAGTCACCACCATCCTGAAATCCGCACTCCCAACCCACCACTTCACAACCAGACAGCGCCAAGAGCAGGGGAGAACGGGAGAGGGAGGAGGAGGATAGGAGAGGGAGAGGAGGGAAGAACTCACGAACTGCTTGCGCTCGAGGAGCCTGTTGGTGATGAACTTCCTTGTCCTGATCGTGCAGCTCTTCTCCGACATGATCGCCTTCCCCTTGCCTCGTGCCGCCAAAAAAAAATTGTTACTCAATCGTTATTCACCCCACCCCCCTACTCAATTGATACCCTACCTCATCGAGGACTGAGATGTGTTACCCCCTACCCCCATTAAATACTTAATATACCCACCCATATTAGTATCATGAGACTCGATCACCCTACCACAGATAGTATAATTCTTCTACCCTACCCTCATTGGTTTTGTTAGCACCGGTGAGTTTCGTTCGAAAGAGGGGGGTCCATAATAGGGGTCCATGACCCCTGTTGATGGAGTCGAAAAATAGGGTAGTGTGGAGGGGGTTGGAGGGGGTGGTTTTGAGTCATTCACACCGGTTAATACTCAGAGGAAAAGGGGGGTGTGTAAACATGATGGTCCTCATCAATTAGGAAGGGGTACATCAAAGAATTATACCATAATAATGGGTAGGGTACTTCAATTTGCGTTTGATTACCGGTAAATTTCATATGAAAGAATTTGATATTCATCAGGTGGGGTATTAAATTCAGTGGTGGGGGTACAATGTTGTGGGGTACCCCCATTGGGAGGGTAGGTAGAGGGTTCTGGCGGTGCGAAGGGGCATGATGATGCGGTGGGGGGCAATGGCAGGATGGATGAAGATGACGATACTGGCGGTGGCGATGGTTGTTGTGGTTGTGATCAGCAGCGATGACGGTATCTTGTATGGCTCCTCCTCCGAGGATGAGGGCGTTGTGCTTGCTCAGAAGAAGGTTGCAGCAGGGAAGAAAGCGGATAAGTCGGATAGGTCTACTCCAGCCGTCAGCGACAAGGAGATTGAGAAGCTGATGAAGAGCATGAATGCAAAGAACGGGAAGAAGCGGGAGTCAAGAACCAGGAGAATCCAAGACAAGATCCTCTCCACCAAGGCGAAGCTTGCGGAGCTGAAGTTGAAGTCCAGCGAGTCGTTTGCCAAGTGGGAGAAGTTCGACGAGGAGGCGGAGAGCGCCAAGACCAAGGCCATCTCACTCCATGAGGTGTACGAGCAGGAGCGGGAGCAGGAGCACATGCAGGAGCGCAAGCTCGACCGTCTGAAGGACAAGCTCACCAAGCATCTCACTGGGTTCAACGCTCGCAATGATCTGGAGAAGTACTACAATAAGCTGCATGTGGAGGCGGCCGAGACGGTGCCAAAAAGCATCAAGGCAGAAGATAAGATGAGTACGTTGAAAGCTGCGGCATACAGGAAGAGGATGGAGGCCAAGAAGACGCAGTCTTCCAGCATCACCAAGGCCAAGACGTCCAAGCTGAGTGAAATCCCTAACAAGGTGAATGTGTGGGACACGGAGAAGACTAGGAAAGTCGAGAGGGTTGAAAGAGCTGAGAAGAAGTTGCACGATAATGGACTAGAAGCCGACAGAGTTTTGCTCAAGTCGTCCAAGAAGTAGGTGACTGTTTTCCCCAATTTTTCCCATTTCACTTTGCTCCCCTCTCACCCCCTCTAGTTTTCTCAATAAACCAGTGTAATAGTTCTGCAAGTCATTTGCTTCTGGATCAGATTGAGCACGCAGGGAGATTTTGATGAGAGCATCGAGGAAGCGATAACAACCCGAGTATAGCACTTTGATCGCACTGAATCGCTTTTGGAACTTTCTCCTTCCCCATCCATCTCATCCATCTTCAGTCATGTTCCTGTGGGCGAATTTGGAAAGTATCTTCTCTTCTCTTCTCTTCTCTTCTCTTCGATCCGAGGAATCATTAATTTATGCACAAAATCAAAATGAAAGATTACACGCCAATAGTACAGAGTCTAGAGTCATCCCGTCCCGAGTGCTTACGAAGCCTTCTCCTGCCATGGCGTTAACTCGGCCCTCCTCCTGTTCCTCAAGTCTTGACAGCACCTGCTCTTCGATGAAGTGCTTCCACGTCACGAACCCTTGAACAAACTCCTCCAAGGAGATGGCTCCGTCCTTGTTCGTGTCAACCTTGAAGCACCGTCATGCAAGCTCCTTCCCTCCTCCTGCCCTCAACCAGCCCCTCTTTCCCTCCCTCCTCCCTACCAAGTTCCTCAGGTTTGATGCAAAGTCCTTCAGCTTCTTCTCATCCACTACGTTGTCCCCCATGCTGTTCTTCTTGTAGAACATGTGCTGCATGTACTCCTGCACGGAAAGTCAGTTTGTATGTCTATGTTGCCCTCCCTCCCTCCCTTCTCCTGTTCTGCTTCAGTCTCACCTGGATGTACAAGATGACCTCGTACAGCTCCAAGAAGCCGTTGCTGTTCCCTTAAATCGCCGTCACTACCAGGGGGCCACACTCCAAGGCGCAGCATTACCAAGGCTGTCGATGGTGCGGAACAATCTCTCAGCCTCGCGCTGTGTAGGATCTTTCGGATCCTGAACCCCACGAGTCAATCGGATGCATTGGGGCACTGAGAGCAAGGGAAACCCGAAAGAACTTGAAGTTGGCGATTGTCTCCATGCGTGCGATAGCTTTGACCGCTCCGAGCACCTTCACATGAGAGTCAAACCCGACAACAATCTTGCGGCAAGAGCAGAGATCTCTCACCTTCTTCCTGCGCTTAGACAAGAACTCGCGCAGATCATCCTTGACCTGAGGGACAAGTGTTGAGATGAGAATAACATGCGAAGCAGAACACACGTCAAGAGCTTGTTCGGAGAAGACATGATTGTTAGCAAAGAGGGGATCCTTCATACACTCAGCAGCTGACGGCCGTTTTGAAGTGTCGACCTGTACACTGATGAGCAAGCGCAGCAAACAATCAGGCAGGAAGGTAAGGAGTTCAGAAACAAGTTGATGAGGATCCCTGGGAAACTGTTGACGTGGGTTTCATCCATACCGTCAGGCACTTCATGATGAAATCCTTGGAGTCAGAGGAGACAGAGTCCCACTTGGGGGAATGGAATTTGAACTTCGCGTGCATGATCTGAGAGGTTTGCATGTTAGCAGGTGCAGATGGCGGTGACATGGCACAAACAGACACTTTTCCAACCTGTTGGATCATCTTCAACATGTCGTTGTCCTCCGAGTAGAAAGGAGGATATCCGCACAACATGATGTAGTAAATGACTCCAACCGACCAAACGTCGACCTGTCCAAATCCAGATCATGACAAGGAAGGGAAAAGACAGACCATCACACCTTGGCGTCGTACTGTAAGTTACCAGCTTTCTTGCCAAGGGCAGCTGAAAAGGAACGTGTAAGGAAACTAGAGGGCTCGTTCGACTTTCTGACCAATCTTGAAGACTTCCGGTGCCAGGTAGTCTTGTGTACCACAGAATTCCCTCATCTCCTTGCTCCACTCCTGCAACAACCACAATAGTCAACCACGAGTGAACCAAGAACGAAGTTGCTGGCAAACCTCATCGGACTTGGCGTTGGCTTTCATGGCACTGGACGAGCATGAACATCAACGTATGCCCTCCAAGCCGACTGGACCACATTTCTCACCTTAGCCCGAAGTCTGCGATCTTGATTTGCATGTATGAAGGGTCCGACTCATCCCTGGCAACGAATCCTAAGCCAAGGACCACAAGGAGAGTACGAGTAAACTTGAGTACCTGCCGACCATGAGGAGATTCTCAGGCTTCAAGTCGCGATGGACGATGTCGATCGAGTGGAGGTATGCGATGCCGTCGAACACCTGGAGATCGGTTGAGGCGAACCACCGTGACCCCACTACCATACCTGGTGCACCAGGAACACCGCGTCCTTCTCGGTAAATCGGCCGAGAGCAACGATCCTATCAAACAGTTCGCCCCCAGAAGCCCTAGAACCTCACGTCAAGACAGACAAGAGATTGGACCGAGCTTCTGTCTCACAGTTCCTCGACCAAGTGAACGGCCTGCTTGTCTTCGATGACTTCGATTAGCCCAATACATTTGGGGTGATTTGCTGCCCTCATAATTGTGATCTCATGATTCAGCGCTTTCATGTCAAAGTGCGGATGCGATCGCAAGACTGTCTTGACCTGTTGCGAGATCAAAATGTTCGAACGCTTTTGTCGCACTCATCTCACCGCCACTTTTAGATCTGGCGTGGCCTTGCTCTTCCCTAACCTGCACACAGCAAAAGCTCCCCTGCGATAGAGTGAGGGGATCGAGTTCGAAGTTGGGACAGATGGATGAGGAGAGAGAGAATGCGCGACTTACTCTCCGAGAGGCGCTCCTAACTCGTACTTCTCCATCTCAGACTGCGCGATGCCTGGACACAACGGTCAAACCCCTCTGCCAGCCGAACAGCCATGATAAAAAGAAGGCTAAATAATCAGCGGGAAGCGATAGCGGTTGATTCTTATGTGCTTTGATTAAAGACGAAGCGGTGGCAACTAGCGCCAACTTCAACGACCATTCATGATGAGACAGACAGCGCAGAAAATTATCTTTTCAACACTTTCATTCCAAAGAGTCGTATCATGAAGAATGAATGCCAAAACATTGTCAGCAGCGGCAATCTTTGATGAATTCCAAAGAGACAAGAGAGAACTTGAGATAGAGAGGGGCTCGCGACAACAGAGAGGGCATGATAACAAGAGCAAGGTTGGCAGGCAGATCAAGGACACACGATGTTGAAGAGTTTGGATCGCCTCAAGCGATCAAAAGCCGGTGAAATGCTGTAAGATGAATGGAATGTATCATATCAGAAAGATGGCGGAAGGTCAGGAGGAGGCTGGGGCAAGGTAAAGGTGTGTGAGAGGGGAGGGTGGGAGGAGTACAAGTAGCTGTTGGTGATAAATTATTGAGAAATGTTCGGGGGTCAGAACCTCGGGGGGGAGGTGGCAGGAGGGAGAGGTAAAGAACAGAGAAGTCGGTGGAATCAGATCGTAGAGGGGGGGAGGCGTGGGAGGGAGGAAATCTTGAGAGCATCAGGTTGGTTCGAGAATGCCACTAAGCGCTGGGTTCCAGCATGGGTAACGTCCGAGGGAGACATGACCCCTACCCCCCCATTCTGTTCTTGAGAGGACAACGGGGGGGTAGTGAATTACCAATGAAGGAGCCAGAGGGGGCACGGTCCAAAGGACGGGTAGTCAAGTCGCAACAAGGGGTAGTGAAGCAGGGGATCCTGCAGGGTAGGGGTACAGAATCCGTGCAGCTAAACTATGGGGTGCTCAGCATAGCGTCGGTCACGAAGGGTACAGGGGTTAACTACAGGGGGTGGGTAGGTAGTGAGAGAAGAGGAGGGGTAGTCGATTCCAGAGACCATCATGATTGCATGTTCCGGAAGTTGAATTCATTAAAAATCAATTTTTCAAAAAGATTGGCTGTACCAGCTATGTTAAAATATTATTATTTTAGTAATTTTGTATCAGATTTATGTACATTATTACTGTCTTTTATGAAAATGTGTTGAATTCATACACATATATCGTGTCTATTTGTACCAGATGACTTTTTCACTTCGTACACGCTTTTTGTAAACCCAGAAGTCGTCATAAAAGTCTTTTACATTCTTTTTTGTGGATTTATTAGCCCTAGTGCATACGAGGGGGGTGGGTGAAAGTCTCCAAGTCAACAAAGGCACTTATGGAGGGGTTATTTTATGTTGAAATACAGGGGTGGGGGTACACCGAATGTATCTTCATTATCATTACAATCGGTCGGGTTAAGTGGTGGGTCAATTGTGTATGTGGGGGTGGTGCTGGGGGTGGGGTGGATGTAACCTGAATGGTGGGGATGTTCCAACCGAAACCGAAAAGTAAGGGGGTGGGAAAATCTCGAAAAAGGGTGATTTCAGATGCTAGCAGCCCTTTGTGTACCCCCTGGTTGTAAGCCGCTCAAGGCTGCTGACCACCCGTGATCGTCAGGACAAACTTGTCCTGATATAGAAAATCGGTGATGAGGGGGGACGAGGGCTTTGAAATTTCAGATATTTTTCAAATCTGAAACTTCGAGGCTCCCGGAACATTTTCTTAAAGTTCAAAGTTTGCAAAGTTCCTTGGAATATTATTGGATCCTTGCAAAGCAGCAAGCAGCCTCTTGCTTGTTCGGTGCCCTTCCCCTTTCCCCTCCCCCCCCCCTCCCTCCTTCCCATCTGGACAAGTTCAAGCTTTCCTCTCCTCCCTTTTCTTCCCTATCCTCTCACCTCCTGTCTCACCGCTCTTTTGATTATAGACGCCCACGGTTCGTCAACTTTTCTCCTCACGCGCCTACTCAAAGTTTCTTTGGCCTCCGTCCTGCTTCGTGGTTGAATGCGTTTGAGCAGACCAGTTGCAGCATTTTCTGCACACTCATCCATTGCGCTCAAGAATTCGATAACTCCGAGCTACTACAGGAAATTCACCGAAACATCTGCAGGAAGTTTTTTGGGAATCCTACTGCTATCATCTCTTTCCAAGGTGCGAGATGGGTTCGGTGTGATGTATCGAATAGCAAGTTGACACTGTAAAACTCAACATTTGATCTCCTTCCTGGTTCTCTGCCGCAAATAATGGATATTGTTCCAGGGATCGGAGTGCAATAGTTTCCAAGAGAGCTGCCAAGGCAAGAGGGCCCTGTTCACCATGGCTGCAGACAAGCAAGGTTCAAAGCTGTCCCGACTGGAAGCTTTCAGCACTGATGTCATGCATCCCAGAAGTCCTGCCTAAAGTGGTTGCCTTTGATCTAGATGCTACCTTGTGGTACCCAGAGATGTATCAGGTGTGTTTTCTGGCAAGGGAAGGTTGGGGATGACTGGGATTCTCAGCTATGGGGAGGAGGATCTCCTTTCAAGAAGAACAACGACAAGACTCTGACCGATCGATCCGGAACACGATGCTATCTGATGGGCAACACTGCAGAGATCCTCCGAGAGATCAAAACAAGCCCGAGGTGGAAGGGAGCCAAGGTAGTGTGCTAACAAGGTTTATTCCGTATCTTGGTTGACGCGAGCGTTGGTCAGATAGCCTACTGCTCGTGCACTGACGAGCCCACATGGGCGGACGAATGCATGAGGCTCTTTGAGATTGGAGATGGAATGACCCTCGAATCCGTGAGTGAACATGTCAGTCGTTCCAAGATTTTTTGTGATGTCCGGCATGCCGACAGGTCGTCGACATCAAGGAAATCTTCAAATCCTCCAAGTCGACGCATTTCCGGAACATTCACAAGAAGACAGGGATCCCCTACGAAGACATGATCTTCTTTGGTCGGGCCTTGTTGACCCTCTGCGATCGCTCTCGGGAGGTTGACTGGAGCCCGCAGATAACGAGGCCCATAATTGCCACACCGTAGCGCCCTTGGGAGTCACTTGCATCCATACTCCGAGAGGTGCGTACCTCTGCTTCCCTTTAAGTTGGTACTGACCTGCTACTTAGGAATGACCGAAGAAGTTTGGAAGAACGGACTTCGTCAATTCGCTAAGAATAGGGGCAAGAAGTAGTGTCAACTTTGAATGCCATGCCTCTTTCGCGGTATTCACTTTCCCACTGACTTACCGTGATACTCGAGGCCCACGCCGTTTCAAGTACTTGTCACAGTAGTCAGTGTAGTGTACGGTCACCGGGGTGCGGCATCATGATGGCATCCGCACAGCCTTAGGGTTTAGTAAGTTAGGGTTTAGGCGGCAAGCCTAGTACGCCAGCTACTACCGTAGTACGGCCGGGCCTGCCACCGAGCCCGGGCTACTTGCCACCGGTCGGCCGCCCGACTGGCAGCCGCCGAGCCGGGCCCGACTGTGACTTGGCAAGGCGCGGCGGGCCTGAGGCTCACTGAGTCAACGGAAGTTACATTGCAGTTGTAGGATGGCCGGGTGCCGTGCCAGTGCACCACCGTCGTGACTGTGCCGGTCCCGCCGCAGCCGAGACTGTACGGTCTGGCGGCCTCCGATCCGGTGATGCGACGGCGGGCCCGCCCCCGTGACCTACAGTGTTTGAGGAGGGATGAGGGTCCCTCTATAACTTCAAAAGTGTTCTGTGGTACAGTCCTGCAGTAAAGAGATCGTATCTGGCAGTACCAGACAGAATAATCTCCGTACAATCTCGAGAAGTGAGTAATATAAAGACGAGGGGCCTGCAGGGTCTTGGTACCGTAGTTTGAGCCGATAGTTTAATAACATTCTGCAGGGGTAGGGTCTGAGCGGAGGTGGGTATTAGGGGGTGGAGGTACCAGTGTGTAGAAATATGAATATCAAAGATTCAATATTCATCGATTGTACTACTAATTAATTTCTGTCTACATGCGAGCCAGGGTCTTCTTCAACCCATTTAAGCAACAAATGGAGGGGTTACTGATTTTGTGAGGGGTGGGGTCAATCAGTGGGTGGGTGGCGAAATGGAGACGGAGACAGGGAGGCCGGCGTGGCAGGCGAGGAGAGGAGGAGGAGGAGGAGTAGGGGGAAGACAGCATACAGGATCAAGATCAGTACAAGGGCAGGGATGAGGTATAGCAGGTGAATGGTAGAATCCAAACGAAGTAGCGACTTGAGAAGGCTCGATGAAGCCAGTGGTGTAGGGTGGGAGGAACCAGAGCAAACGTCCGGCGCGCGGGCTCATGAGCACGGACAGATGCATGAGAGGATGCGTGTTGGTAGAGAAGAAGTGATAGATTTGCCGTTGAGGTGTTGACATCTTTGTGTTGGAGGAGGAGGATCGGGGGAAAGCTGCCGCGCGCAGTTTGTCCATGGCCCGCTGGTTTGCCGGCCTCTCGTTTTGTGGTCGAAGTATCCATATCATGATGAGAGCTTGGACACTTTAGGTCTAATGATACTAGACTAGCAAGACATGGATCATGCACAAATCTAAAGTGCTAAGATATGTTGCCAGCCAAAACATGATCCTTTCAGTGTGAATGTCTGCCCGTGAGTTGACCGAGGGTTTCAGATGGAGATCGATGCGCGAGACATTGAAAAGCAGTTGGACCTGGAGATGAAGAGGTGTGCAGCGTTTTTTGCCTCCTCCAAGACGCTCATTGTCTCCAGGTTGTTCAAGAACTTCGAGGAGGATGAGGAGAGGACGATGCGACTCGCTTCGGCCCTTGAGCATGAATCCACTGCAGCTTCGTTGCATTTCGCGCTTTTCCCCCGCAAGACGCGCGATGGTGGTTTGCAGCCGACCTGCAGAGAGCCAGTTGTGTCGATGATGGCGTTTGTTGTTGATCTTTTCTCGCCGCATGATGGCTCAATAGATCTAAGGATGTTCAGCGAGTGCTTCATGGACTCTGATTTCGTGAACGAGGATGTGGAGGAGGGGATAGTTGGTCTGTCGTATCAGTACAAGGATGAGAACGGAAGCAGCGTGTCCATCAGCCGTGGGAAAGTGAAGGATGCAAAGAGACAGTTCGCGCATCAAGTTCAGCTGAGATTGTCCATGCAATGCAACCCAAACATCAGTGTGAAAGTTTTTAAGACGGGGAGATTACAAATCGCGGGATGTAAGGATGAGGGAACATGTAACAAGATTGTGCGCCACGTGATAAATTCCTTGAACAACATATACGACCATGTGCCCGACGGCCCATCCGTCTTCGAGCGGTTTTTGCTTGTTTGGATGTTTGCTTGAAGGAGTAACGAAATTGTCTCAGGCACGTTTGCGAGCCTAGCGGCCAGCACGTTGCAGTCCATGGACCGATTAAATTCTCGGAAGTTCTAGCACCTGAGACTGTCAACATCAACTGCACGTTTGATGCTGGGTACTCGTTTGTTGGCTACACTCTAGATCCAATCTTGTTGAGGTGAGAGCAGATCTTTCCATGATGAAATGATTCTCACTCTCCTGTTTTGGTTCTTTGTTTTTAGAGATGTTGTTTCACGGCCGGAATACTCGCATTGTGTAAAAAGTGTAGAATACACGCCGGAGAAGAGGTCAACGATGACGGGAGGGTGTGGTGAGTTGACGATGAACAGGTATGCTGGAGTTAAGATCCTCTTCAAGCCTCCTCAGATCGCTTCTGTTTCCGACGCTACGAATGTGAAGAGAGAAGTCTTTATCGGTGAGATGAGTTCTTGTTGTCTTTGCCCCGCCCGTTTCCCATTCATCTTCTCTCTTTTCTTGCGAATTTCGCAATGCTCATCCTTTTGCCTGCTTTTCTATGATTTGAGAATGCAAGGATACTTTGGATACTCCTGGTCCTCCACACTTCCTCTTGCTTTTGTTGTGACAAGTCTCCCCTTCCTCCCTTACGGTCTCGCAGGCATCTTCCCCTCTTCCAAGACAGTCATCACAGGAGCAGTGAACTGGGCAGGTGTGAGGTAACGCGGGGAGATGCTGAGAAGGTGAACGATGTCGCAGAGGTGGACGATGCATACGACTTCGCTTCCAGACTCCTCCTACAGGTTCAGTCCCTTGCCACTGCTGCTCCAACTCACTGCCGTCACAGAACTTTGAGGAGGTTAGGAAGCCGGCGGAGGGAGGGATGTCCGCAAGGCGAAGGCAGGGGCGTGACAAGTGAAGGGCGTGTTTTTTTGTGTATAATTTGAATAATCAACATGAGTGAGATGAGGGATTGATTCGAAAAATCAAAAGAAACGAAACGAGACGAGCTTGACGTACGGTGTTGGAGGCAGAGTTGGGATTCTGACGTGAGGCGATCGCCACGCACATAGAGAGTCGAATGACGCTGAAAAGAATAATGTGGGCACGAACTTCAGTTGTCTCCGTCGTCAGCATCTTGTCCCCCCATGGGAGGCAGACGTCCCTCCTGTCATGACAGCACGAGTTGAGAAATGATCGAGAGGAAGGATTCGAAAGTTGAGCAAGTGAGAGGGAAGGAGGAGGAGACATGTGGAGCAAGAAACGGAGAGAGCGTGCAAGGAGGAGCAAGAAGGTCTGCTATTCTCAGTGTTACCTTGAACTTCTTGATCATCTTCCTCATAGACTTGGCCGAGGGCTTCATCCTTCATGTCTCAGGTCAGCGCTTGCGCTAGGGAGGCTGGTGGATACCTCCTCCTCCCTCCTCCCTCCTCCTCTCGTTTCTCCTTGTACGGCATCAAGAACTTCTTCTCCTGCACAACAAGGTAAAAAGCCTGACGCTCCTCCTCGTCCTCATCCTCGTCGTTGAGCATGGCAGACCTGCGGTTGAGTGACGTGGATGACGGCGATTGGGACATCCGCAACTGTCAGCCCGAAGGCTCGGAGGGCATCCTGGAGGCCATGGTGAGAAGGAAGAGGAGAGAAGACTGGGAGGCTGGGAGACTGAGGGGAAGGACAGAAAGGAAAAGACGGATAGAGGAAAGAGGTGTCGGTAACAGTGAGAAGCAGGAAGGGCTGAAGGAGTGGGGAGGGAGGGGGAGGGAGGGAGAGAGGAGGATGAATATGCAGAGGAGGACAAAGATGACCGAAGTCTTGGAGGGGTTGGCGATGACGAATCGAAGCTCCTGCTCGTGCTCCTTGGAGAGAGGCTTGAGCCACTCCAACACTTTTTCCTCCTGGATCCTCGGGGCTCAGCAGCTCAGAGACAGCATACGAAGCTCGACCTGATAAGTGAACACGAGAACCTGCGTAGAGGTCAGCCAGAAGGTGCGGAGGAGGTGAGAGGGAGGAGGTGAAGAGGGGGGGGGAACTGGTATGAGATGGAAGGGTTCAGAATTGTGACGAGGAAGCTAGTGAAGGCGGCAGTGACCAGGGGTGTGGTAATGGAACAGTGCGAGCACGGCAAGGAAGGAAGAAGAGCGGGGAAGGGAATTTCCAGGAGAATCAAGTTTGCTGAGGGAGAGAGCAAGGGAGGGAAGGAATACCTTAGGCCGGGGTTCGAAGAAGAGCGCTCGGACCATGTTTCCCTGCTCGATGGGCAGTAAGGAGTAGAATGATGGAGCTGGAAGAGAAGAAGGGGAGAGGCAACACGATGGGGGGGGGGAGGGGAGAGGGGAAGCAGGAGGAGGAGGAGGAGAAGAAGAAGAAGCAGGAGGAGGAGAGGAAGGAGGAGACCTGGAGGTTCAGTCGGCAGAGGTTGCCGAAGATCGTGTGCCATGGCCATGTAATGCTGTACAGGTTTCCTGGCTCCCTCCTCCGAGGGAGCGTGTAGAAAATCATCTCCCCTCCCGGAATCTCCACCTAGCCATTACACTTCATCCTACCCTGCTAGCTCAACAGTGCACAGAGCTCTACCTCATGCTTGCTCACGAGCTCGGGGCTCTCGGGGATCTGCGGCAAAGGTCAGCAGCTGCATCCCCGTCCCCCTCCCCCGCCCTGCTCCTGTTTCTCCTCCTGCTCCTGATCCTTGCTCCCCCCGCTCCTCCTCCCCCAAGCGCCCCCCCCCCCTTCTTTTTCTTCCTCCTCAAGCAGCAGGAGCAGCAGCAGTTCGCAGTCCCTTTCCCCTCACCTCATCTCTTCACTGGATCCGCCTTAGACTTGTGCTGCTTGTAGACGAGCGACAGGGAAGAGCTCGCGGACTCCCTCCTTGTCAAACAACCCCAGCTGCTTCACCAGCTTCGTCCCCACCTGCATCCCCTGGACTTAACCCCCCGATCCTCTCATGCTCCCTCCCCTCCCCCTTCCCCTCCCCCTTCCCCTTCCCCATCCCCACTCCACTTCCCCCTTGCTTCTTCCCTTCTTCACCTTTCCTGTTCTCTCTTCCTCACCGTGTTGCAGTTTGGCCCCAGAGGCTTCGTGCCCCACCAGTTCACCAGGAACGTGATCCTCTCTCCTCCCCTCCCCCGCAGCTGCACCGCGCTCTCACCGTTCTCAGGGGCGAGCTCTGCGGGGACTCCGTGCTGGAGGTTCCCCCTGAAGATGAGGTGCCTGTTCTCCCTGGGGTAGGAGAGGAAGCCCTCCCGAGGTGAGATGGGGACCTGCGCGTTGCCGTCGGGCGTCGTCTGGTTGAAGATCACCGTAGGCGCCCCTTCCCCTCGCAGGTAGGTCACAGTCGAGACCTCGGGGAACTTCATTGTGCTCTTGAGCGACGCCATGGCCTCGTCCTTGTCATGGTGGAAGCCGATGTCCTCCTTCAACGACCTCTTCTGCACCCACCACTCTCCTCCTGTCACCCGCGGGTGCCTCGACGATCCGATGTCGTTCTTGTACAGCATGATGATCGCTGCTTCGATCGCGAACCGCGGTTTCAGGAAGTCGCCATGCTCGTTGAACAGAGGCCTCCAGAAGGTGCCGCCCTTACCATGCATGTATCCTCCTCCTGCAGCCTTTGCTCGCTCATCCTTCTCGTACTTCTCGAACACGAGGGCCTCGTTGACCACCCGATCGAAAAGTTCTTGCGGGAAGACGTCGTCGAAGCCTCTTGCCAGCGTCTCGTTCAGTCCCGCCGAGTTCCAGGTGCTCGAATGGTCTTCGATGATCGCCGCGCCACGGACATGGCAAGAAACCAAGGAGGCAGCAAAAGAGCGTCGCCAGCCCTACGGGAAATTCGAAGTCAGATCAACTACCTGTCTGAACCATGTCCCTTATTCCTAACTTGCCCGCATACGACATGTCTAGTCCTCTTGTCTGACCTATCGAGGTCTCTACAGCTCTCTCCGTCGTCTGATTACTACAAAGTTCTCCGATATATCCCAAGCTATTGCACGTTCTGAACTCCTTCCGAAGTCCGACGAAGTCAACGCCTTTCATGCTGCTCACCATGCTCTTGGTATCCCAGGTCCCTCCTCATATACCTATCTCCTCCAGTTCCTCCACCCCTAATTTCGTCCTGGCTGCCTCTGCTTCCTCCTCCTCCTCCTCCTCCTCCTCCTCCTTCCTCCTCCTCGGCCTCACCTCGCATGGCCATGGGCCAAATTCTCTTTCCTGTGAACTCTTGAGTTTAAAGTTTTCTATTTAAACAGAAAGTTTCAACAAGAGAAACAGAATTTCAAAACTTGGAAGTTTGCAGTAGAGTCCTCATAGCCCTGTTGTTCAATGGAGCAGGTGGGTACCTCGGTGGGTACCCCTACGGCTAGTCAGGGTGGGTATACATGTTCAATGATTATTGAGGGTGGGGGTGGTCAACGCCCTGTGAATCAGTACTAAAAATGTCAGGGCGTAGCGTTTGAAATGTTCGATTTTAGGGGGTGGGGGTGCTATGAGTATGGGTGGACCCCACCCTCAAAAAATTCGGGTGGGGGGCGACTTGCAGTGGGTGTGGGTAACCAAAGTCTCATGAAGGCACCCGTTATATTCTGGGTCAAAACAATCTATTTGAGGTGGTGGGGTAGGATCTTGGATGGTACTGGTACTGGGGGGTATCAACCGGTGGTGGGGTAGGAATTAGATTACTATTTCGGGGAGAGAAAGTTTAGTTCAAACAAAACAAAAATGGACTCTGGGGATGAGGGGCAGGGACAAGTACAAACCTGGGTGGATTACTTGTGTATTTTCTTAAGTGGAGTACTAAGTAAAAACAATATGTGTACATGAAGAGGATGAGAGAGAGGGTTGCAACGTGCAGGATGTTTGTCCCGGGTGGGACTAGGCGGAGATGAGGGCAGGTTCGAAAGGCGTCACGGTGATGTCATCGGCCCCCGTGGAGGAGGAGGAGGAGGGAGGAGGAGGAGGAGGAGGAGGAGGGCGTGAGCTAGGGATAGGTAGGTCGATGATGAGGACAGAGCTGCCTCGAAGGTGCTGGGAGCAAGAGAAGGAGAAGGAGGAAGTGAAAACTCGAGGGATTCGTGATGATAGGGAGGTTCGTAGGTAGTGTGATCTGTACTTTTGGGTGGGGTGACAGGGCAGAGAGGGAATTCGGGAAGACAAGCAGACGGGGGCCTTGGTTTACTTGAACCATCGTTGAGGATATCGATGAGACGCAGAAGGGAATGGGATTGTGGGTGTGCATGGTGAAAGTTGTTGGGACTGGACCGATCTGTGGCCATGCACTGGATCCCCCTCCAGCATCCTTCTCAGATGCTATCTTGGCGATTGTATGAAATATCTCCCTGAAGGGTGCTCCTTTTGCAGAGAACCCCCTTCGTGCATCGTCAAGTTAAACATGCCAACGTGCCGAGAGCAGCTCGCGAAAGTCACAAAGATCGTTGCCGACACAGGCGATCTGGACAGGTTGCCATGGCTGCTGCCCTCTCCCTGGCGTCTCACGGGGTTTGCAGCATCCGCAGCCTGCAGCCTGAGGACGCGACGACGAACCCTTCGCTCATCTTGGCAGCGGTGAGATGCTGGGAGGGAGGAGGGCGAGGAGTGACCTGAAGCAGGTAAGCGACCCCAAGTACAGCGCGCTGGTGGAGGCAGCGATCAAGAGCGCTAAGGGAGCTACTGTGGAGGAGAAGGTCTGTGAGGGAGTCTTGCTCCCCGTGCCTCCTCCTCTCCTGAACTTCCGAAGGTTTCGGATGCTACAGACAGGTTGGCTGTTGCCTTCGGCACGGAGATCACCAAGATTGTTCCGGGCTACGTGAGCACGGAGGTGGACGCTCGTCTCTCCTTCGACGTCCAGGGGACCATTGCCAAAGCCCACAAGACTATCGCTCTGTAAGTTGGGAGAGGAGGATGGAGGCTGGCTCCTTAGCCTTAGAGGTTTGGGGTGTTTCAGATCGAAAGGGGAGGAAGAGGAAGAGGACGAGGACGTGGACGAGGACGTGGACGAGGAGGTTGTCGGATATTTTGTAACATGAGGTGATGCAGTTACGCCGAGAAGGGGGTGCCCAAGGAGAGGATTCTGATCAAAATCGCATCGACGTGGGAGGGGATTCAGGTGGGGGCCGTGTGATCCAGTCCTCAGTGTTGCAAGACTGACGTGGCATTGCGGAACAGGCGGCTCAGATCTTGGAGCAGCAGGGAGTCAAGTGCAACATGACGCTCCTCTTCAACTTCTATCAGGTGCGACAGCGAGCAGAGGAGTGGGGGTTTTGGGGGAAGGGGGGGGGGGCGGAGGGGAATGGGGAAGGTCATGTGGTTGAGGAGGGGAGGTTGGGGTGGAGCGCAGGAGATTCCCGGGACAGGACACATATACTGAGACGTTTCATCAGGCCGTTGCGTGTGCACAGGCCAAGGCAACTTTGATCTCTCCGTTTGTGGGTCGCATCCTCGATTGGTAAAGTTGGAGCATGTGAAGCCTGCGCGATGACGTCAGGTCAGGTACAAGGCCAATGAGAAGAAGGAATATTCGCACGATGAAGATCCCGGGGTAATAGGGGAGATTGCGCTGGGTGGTTGAGAGACAATGATTGGAGGGAGGAATTGTTTTTGATTTGCTTCCTTGCGCGATGAGTTGAAAGCAATTGTGATGATGTCTGCTGATGTGAGAGTTGTCAGGTCCTGTCGGTCAAGAAGATTTTCAACTATTACAAGAAGTTCGGGCATGAGACTATAGTCATGGGAGCTTCCTTCCGCAGCGTGGGAGAGGTGAGATTAGGATGAGGGTCAGGATCCGAAGGACGGAAGCAAGGAGGAGGACGAGGAAGAGGAGGAGGTGGTGGTGGTGGTTCTAAACTTGCTGTCCACAGGTCCTAGCGCTAACAGGATGTGATAGATTAACGATCAGCCCTGCGCTGCTTCAAGAGATGGACAAGATGAACGATGAGGTGGGGATGGAGGAAGGGAGGAGCCAAGACAGTGACGGAAAGGGCGGGCAGTGACAGGATCTGACCTGCTTGCCCAGGTCCCTGTGAAGCTGCAGAGCTCTACGGCAACAAGTATGGACATGCAGCAAGTGTTTGTCGATGAGAAGAAATTCCGCTGGGAGATGAACCAGGTTCGTCTGCTCCTCTGCCACGCTCCTCTCCCCTCCTCCCTGCTCTCCATGCTCCATCGCTAGCTCAACTTCTTCGCTCCCCGCTGACTGCCCGTGTCTTACAGGATGCGATGGCTACCGAGAAGCTTGCGGAGGGAGTGAGGAAGTTTGCAGCAGGTACGGCAGTATGTTCTCCTTCACTTGTCAATCCTGATTCTCTGTAGACATCAACAAGCTGGAGGCGATCATTCGTGAGAAAATGGGCAAGTGAAGGAGTAGCAACTGAGTTAATAAGGAATGTCAAACTTCTCTACATGTCTCCTGCGCGCACAAGAAGATTTTTCTTCCTCCTCCATCTCCCTTCTTCATCTTTCCTCCATCTTTCCTCATTCTTACTCCTCCATCTTGTCATCAGAAGCGGATCCATCCTCCCAGAAGCGCGATCCATGCAGCGAGAAATGGCAGGGCAATGAGCCCCGTCCTCGTCTTAGTCTCCGCGTCAACTTTCCAGAAGAAGAGGAAGGGCACGAGCACGAGAGAATGGCCTGCAGTGTAGATCGCTGTGTACAAGACGCGCTTGTCCTCCACAGCAGCCGATGTCAGTAGCGTCGCAACAGCCGGTCCAACATCTTGCAAGTGGGAGGGCGAGAGGGCGCGCTGGGTCCAGGCTCTGCGAGACAGAGGAGAAGGAGGAGAAGGAGATGCTGGGGAGAGGGGGAGGAAGGCCTCGGTGCTCGACACGCACAGCAGCAGGAGGAGGAGGGGGTGCATGAAAATAAACCGGGAACCGGATCCTGAGGCAGGGGGGTCTACCAAAGTAAACAGGAGAGGCGGCGATGGCGGGGGCGCGAGAGACGGAGCTGTCGCTGCTGCACAGGAGGAGAGAGGAGGAGCTGAGAAGCATGAGCGAGGCGATCATGCTGCGCAGGTATGCCGCGTCTTCCTTCCTGCCTTTCGTGCGGGGGACGAGGCCGAACGTGCTAGCAGGCGGGTAGGGAGCTTACACCAGCATCTGAGAGACGTCAAGGCGGACCTGGCGCGGGTGCAACGAGAGAACCTGGTGCTTCGAAGCATCGTCAGGGTGAAGCATATCTGTCTCGATGAAGCTCACGGAGCAGGCAGGACGGCATGCTGCTGAGCTCAACTGAGGTGGAGCAACTGAGGTTTCGGCTGCATTGCCATGAGGTAGGTTCTTGCTCCCCTCCTCCCTTGCGTTGAGCCGTCCAGTCCCCTGCTCCTTGCTCGAACAACCATCGCTTCCTCTCCTCGTCCTCACCACCTTGTGTCAGTGCAGGGAGGTAGGATACTCGGCAGGCGCGTGGGAGGACTTGTCAGGTGAGGGTCGAGGGTGCAAACATTGCTAACCCTCTCCCAGAGCCCCCGCACAAGTCGCTGCTGCCTGACGAGCTCGAGATGTGGGAGCAGCCGAGGCGATCATGGCACGAGGAGGGGGCGGGCGGGGTCGTTGCGTACTTGCTGAGCCGGAGCTGGGCTCTGCTGGGGGAGGTGCAGGGGATGCTGGAGGAGGCACACTGGGAGGAGGACGAAGACCTTGGATCGATCTCGACCATCTCTCAAGTTTCTTCTTGTGCATGACGAACAGGACTTGGCTGTCATGGGCCTTCAACCATCGTCTTCGTGCCTGCACACTGCTTCTTCCTTCCCACCTCGGCGGCTTCACCTCTGGACGTCTGCTGGACATGCACGGCAGACGGCTGCAGCACAACGAGGAGGGATCAAACAAGAAGCAGGAGGGGCGTTCATCTCCTCCTGTTCTCAGACGTCGAGCCCGATCACCCTGCCGCGGGGAGGTGAGCCAAGGGATCTGGATCTTGCTGCATGGCGGAAGGAGAGGGATAGAGAGGGGGACACTGCCAGTGATATGAAAGGAGTGGAGGGAGATCAGGAGAGGGAGGGAGGGAGGGAGGGAGGGAGGGAGGGAGGGAGAGATTCGAAGGATAGGGAGGTGTAGAGATTGAAGGGATGAATGAAGATGGGGGAAAGTTTGACATGTCTGGCAACTTGCGGCACAACCTCAACTCTCCTCCCCTGGTCCGATCGGATTGGAGAACGACTGCAAGCTATGAGATGTGAGAGGAGGAGTTTCCGGGTATCTGAGGAAGAGGAGAGGAGAGGTATCCTTTCGAGGATTTCTCAAGGGCCGCCCCAACTTCAATACTGTCAGTATTCAGTGCCACTTCGGAAGACCCCTGCCAAGAGCCGGGAGTGACCCCGGCGAGGCTGACTGTCTGCATGCCATCAGTCATTGGGCTGCTCATCTGCAAGAACCTGATTGGAGGCCGGGTAGCAGCAGCGAAGGAGAGTTGCCGTAAAGAGCGAGTACCTGGCATTGAACGGTACTACCATACTCTACCGTACTGATAATGGGCCCGGGGGCCTCGCCGATCGTGACCGTACTATAACTGTGACTACAACTCTGGAACATCGGAACTTTCTATCTTTAAAAGTAAAGTTGAGACTTTCGGGAATAATCAAACTTCAAACTTTTGCCGCAAACTTTCTGCTTGGTGGGCGCCATGCGCCGCCGCCGGCTCCTCCTCCTCCCCCTCCTCCTCCTCCCCCTCCTCCTCCTCGTAATGGTTGATGGAGGAGCGCTAGGAAGCTTGGAGGAGGAGGGAGATGAACTTCATGGAGGGAAGGCAGGGGCGCAGGAGGAGGAGGAGGAGGAGGTCGAGTTACTCTTTCCGTCCAATCATAGCGTCCTGTGCTCCTCCAAGGCCATCTTCATAGGTGAGGGATCCTTCCATGGCTCCTGTCTTATGACCTCCTCCCTCCTCTGACTGTCATGGAACAGCGATGAGGCCATTGTATGGTGTACCAAGAGAAGTCCATACCATGGCATCAGCGAAAGTTCTGGTGATCTCAGGAGGTGGAGCGCCGAAAGAGATCGAGTACGGGACCATGATGCTCTCCTTGACCCTCAACCACGATCTTGTTTGGGTAGCGCAGACTAGTGCTCTCCCGCCGGGCAGCTACAAGTGGTTGATCGAGCTTCACTCGGATGAGCTCGCTGGTCCACACCGTAAGATCAGGTACCATTGATTACCATATGCTGCCTCTGCATGCCATGGCGGATTTTTCATGGTTGCTGCTTACTATCAGCCCTCAGACAGGTGATGTTGTACCTCGACATCAGGGCCAACGACGGTCATTGCATACGAACCCTGCCCGACATCGACTTCGAGAGGGCCCACAAACCTTTGGGTCCTCAAGTTTTCTTCGACTTTCCCCCAAACCTGCACGTGTTCGAGGAGGAGGAGGATGTGTGGGTGGGATACAGGATAGAAGATCTTGCGGGAGACATCTCGGGCCGCGTCCTGCTCAACGGGCAGCATGTCATTGACATCTGGAATGCTAAAGGAAGCATTTCGATGAATACGGTGGAGCTTGAAAGAGGAGTAGTGTACAACTTCACCATCGTCATAGTCAATGAGCGAGCAGAGCATACCACTGCTGCTTCGCTCCTCTTCATGGCAAACAAGGAAAACAAGATCACGAAACCATGCTTTCAAGATCCGACACAGTGCGTGATGGTCGATGATCTCGAGGTGGAGGAGGAGGAGGGCCTGGGGGAGGATAGCACCAAAGAGGGTAAAGCTGACTTCTTCGGCCTTGACCTCTTCCTCAACCTTCACCTGATGCCTCTGAGGAGGAGGAGGAGCATTTCAATGCACCAGTCTTCCGACTCGGGATTGCCGAGGATGCCCGATTTCAGTCACTTCCTCCGAGCGGAGCGCATGGAGCTGGTGCTGTTCGATGACTTCGGGCCAGGGCTCATCACCCGCATTTTCATTCCCCTCCTCGATGCTCCCAACGGCTCAGGGCCGAGCTGGAGGGTGAGGATGAGAGTTGACGGGGAGACATACCTGGATGAGACGTTCGAGACCCTCACCTCCCTCAGCCTTCCCCCTTTCTCGCACCCCCTGGCTGGCTACGGCGACCCTTCCCTCGGGTTCCTTTCCATGGTTCCCATCCTCTTCCGCCATCGATGCACAGTGTCGCTCGCTGTTCCTCCTCCCTACGATGCTCAGCAAATCTTTCAAGACTCCGTCCGCTGCCTCGAGGAAGAAACCATCTGCTCTACTAAGGTGAAGTTGTATGAAAGGAGGCTCGATAACGCTCCGTCCCTCGCTTCTCTGCCCCTTCCTTTTCTGGTGTTCTGGCTCTGTCTTACTCTCTCCTCTCGCAGATCTACTGGGATGTAGACTATCGCCGCTTCGGGCTCACCAAGGAGGAGGAGGAGGATATGCCGATCAATGTTGCCGTGAGGGAGGCCGTGAAGCACAGGAAGGCCCTCGTCGACTCGCTCCGCCTCCTCTCTCACGTCGGTGCCGTACATCTGCCATTCCCCTCCATCGTCGTCAACTCCTCGACCTCGTTCGTCGATGATGATCGCAAACTGCCCGCTGCCTCCTCGTCGGTCTTGTGGGCAGAGAGGGGAAAGGGATGCATTCTATCGATCCAGATCGACCTCAAGGATGTAGAGGATCCTTGGAACCTCCTCCTCCAGATTGTCTTCGACGATGAAGCTGAGCCGCAAGTACAGGCTCCGCTTCCTGCCTTCTTCCTCTGGACGAGAAGGTCGCAGCTGGAGCAAAATCATCGCGCGCGCTCCCTTTTCGTTGGCCATGAGGATCGCCTGGGCTACAGTCACTTTCCAATGCCCTTTTTTAGCTCCGCAGAGATCAGAATCGTCTGCAGCAACAACGAAAGCAGCAGCAGCAGCAGCAGCAGCAGCAGCAGCAGCAGCAGCAGCAAAGAGCTAAACCTCAGCGTCGGTCTTCGGGTTCAGTTTGTCAAGGACCCGCCTTGGCTCTCCGCGCTCGCTCCCAACCTTGTCGGCACATTCCACACGTGCTACAAAGAGCCTTCAGCCACGCAGAGGGGAACCGATTTTCAGCTCCTCCGCCGCCGGGGATCGTGGGGACATGTAGTCGGGGTATCGCAGGAGATCACGAGTCGAGTAGGAAGAGCAGGAGAGAGTTTCTACGAGGGTGACTACCGCTTCTGGATGGATTGTATGGTGAGCTGACTCATACTCCTCATTCTCGTCCTCGTCCTCGTCCTCGTCCTCGTCCTCGTCCTCGTCCTCGTCCTCGTCCTCTTCCTCTTCCTCGTCCTCCTCCTCCTCCTCCTCCTCGTCCTCGTCCTCGTCTTCCTCAACTCACTCTCCATCCCCACTTCGTGCTCCCCCGCTAAGCATCGTGTTCCCCATTCCTAAAGTCCTACTTCCTCCCCACCTGCTCTGCTCTCTTCCCTTCCTCTTCGTGTTCACTCCCATCATGACAGGTGAGCGAGAGCATCCACGAGACAGGGACGGAGGACTTCTTCAACGCGGCTCACGGCTACATCGCCCTCGCCAACTTCTCTCTGCCCCTTCACGGCGCGCCTTACATTCGCCATCCCCACATGGCTCCTCCTGACAGCGACGAAGGGCATGTTTGGCACACTTATCGTCTCATGCTCGCAGACGCCATCACCTTCAACCATCAGCTCGTCGCTAGCTTGGAGCACGGGAGCGTGCAGAACAGCTTGAATGCACAGGAGAGCAACCAGGCAGAGGGTTGGTACGGGAGCTTGACGTACTTTTACGTAGGAAGAAATGAGAAGAGGGTGGCAGAGGCTGAGAAAAAGGGGAGGTTTGAGCTTTGGACGTCAGAGCAGCAGGAGCAGGAGCATCAGCAGGAGCAGGAGCAGGTCTCTTGCGATCGTTTCCTCCTTGATCGTTTGCATTGTGGGAATGCCGCTTCACGTGCGGAGCACGAGTATCATGTGGAACTTCTCAACGTCTCCACCATTCGCGTTCAGATGACGATGATGAAAGAGAGCCAGCAGCAGCAGCAGCAGCAGCAGGAGGCCATTGAGCTGAAGGAGGATGTGAGGAAGAAGCTGGGCGACGCTGACTCAAACGGCAGCTGGACGTGGGGCAGCTGGAGCATACGGAGGGAGACGAGGAGGATGGAACTTGAACTTCCTCGCAGATCTCCCTGGGCCTTCGGGGACGATCTGGTGGAGAACTTCGTCTTCCAGATCTCCGAAGAGGAGGAGAGAAAGTCTCTTGTCCAGCGCCTCTGCCACCAGCCCACTCAGCTTGTCCTCAAAGGGCCTTTTGTCATCGAGTTTCACTTAGGTAATGTTTTTCCTCCCCATCCTATTCTCCGCCTTTTCGTCTCCCTCTCCCATACCCCAATCCTCCCTCCTGTCCTGCTCATCTCCATCTTGTCTGAATCTTTCGTTCTCATCCGCTTCCTCCCCCCACTGCCTCCTTCCCCTCATACCTTGCAGATGCTCCAGATGTTCTCAACGGAGACTTCCTAGTATTAAGACGAACCTTCGATTACCGGGAGGAGGATCAGGTATGACTCCACATGGCTCCCTCCTCCATCCTGTATGAAATGAGCGCTGAGCCTCCAAAACACCTCTCCCCCTCCCTTACCCCACTCTCCCTCTCCCTCTCCCTCTCTCTCTGTCTCTCCCTCTCCCTCTCCCTCTCCCTCTCCCTCTCCCTCTCCCTCTCCCTCTCCTTCTCCTTCCTTCTGTCC